CCATTAGTCCTTTGGACTAATCTTTTCCTTGTATCCTGTTCTCTTCATTCTCCCTTGTTCCTGAAGGGGTGAGACCAGTGGAGTATCTTAGATGGCTGCTCACAGGCAGTAGCTTTAATTTTAAATAGAGCTTCAAACTCATTAGTAATTTCAGAGAGTCATTTTTAATTGTGTATTTTGGTTTTGTGAATATGTTCATATTCAGAAATTTGAGTTTTATGAAGATCTAGTCTTTCCGTGAAACCTTTAATCTATCTTGTCTAGAAGGTAAAATATTAATATGGGATATTAAAGGCTAACTTATGAAAAAGTTACCATGATTGTATTATATATCTGTAAATGGAAAATGAAAATTAACTTCTATAGGTATAAATAACCTAGTATAATTAAGATGAAAAGTAATTAATTTTAAAGTTCAGTGTTTAATATTTAATTCTTCTTTCTTCCAAGATACATGGTTGGAAAAGAAATGGGGACACAACATTACAGAATTTCAACAGCGGTTTGATGCAATTTTGACTGAAGGAGAAGGACCAAGAAGACTTAAGAACTTGTATTTTCTCTATTTAATAGAATTAAGGGCTTTATCTAAAGTTCTGCCATTCTTTGAGCGCCCAGATTTTCAACTCTTCACTGGAAATAAAGTTCAGGATGCAGAAAACAAAATGTTGCTTCTGGATATACTTCATGAAGTCAAGTAAATTATGTTCTACAACTTGTCATTCTTCTATTAAAGTATAAGTGTTATTCAAAATTAAATTCTTAAATGTCCATTTAGAGAAAGAAAAACTATTTAGAAATAATTAAAAGCTATTTTTGTTCATAGATCTTTTAAAATTTAGAGTTTTTTAAAATCCTTTTTATTTTTTTGTTTGGATACTATAGGGCACACATTTTCAGTTTTAAAAGCTATTCTTTTACTACTTGATACTTACATTATTTTCTTATTTAGTTGAACAGATTGGGTTTGGGACCAAACTTCTATATTATGCAATTTAGGTTTTATATTTGAGGATAAGAATTTGTTTTGGGGCATCAGAATATTGGTTTTATTATATTTTCTACTTTATTTTGATTTTATCATTACTGAACATCAAAATGTTATATTAGCACTTTTAATGTTTTATAATCAATAAAAATGAATAATCTCTGTTTTAAAATGCAGATCATTTCCTTTGCATTTTGATGAGAATTCATTTTTTGCTGGGGATAAAAAAGAAGCAAACAAACTAAAGGTAATTATTTTATGATTTAACTTAATTTTTAGATACAAGCTATTTAACTCATATAGGTATGAATATAAGCCCATGTTTTTATACTTAAAATAAATTTTATATACACCCTGAGATTATAAGAAAAATTGGAGTCATAAGTTTTCTTTTCCTCAAGAAAAAAAGGAAGAAAAAAGGAAGTCCAGAGGCAGGGTTCAACTTAAGCTCTGTTTACCTTATGTTCAAGATAACAACGAGCGAAATCTGTCACTTTACACTTCACATAGACGATCTCATGTAATAGAGTTTGTAAGTTAAAGAGATCCAGTAGCCATATTACTCTTTCTTTTGCTGAAGAGAATTCTAAAAATGGTTTTGGTTAAGTTAATGGATCCTCTTTAGGGGAAGAAGGAACAGTGTAACATTTTGACATTATCTTATTTACTGAGAATTAAAGGCAGTTAGGAATGCCAGCATGGACTTGTGGAAAGAACAGAAGACCGGATATCTCACAAAATGGGATCTGGTTTTGACCTTGCCTCTTAATAGAGGAATGATCTCAGGGAAGTCCATCTCTGAGTCTGTATATTTGCCTCAAAACACTATGAATATAAAATATTACTAAGAATATTTTTAAAATGTTCACTTTTTGCTGAGCATGATTCTTGTCATTAATAGGAGAAATAGTTCTTACCCTGAAGAGATTTCTAGTTTATCTGGGGACTCAAGTAAAATTATATTACTATTCTTGTTCTCTGTTATGAAGCGATTGGTCAGTAAAGGCAGGAGGCCCTAATAGCACTGGGCTGGATGTGATTTCATCAGAATCTTTATAACAAGCAATCTCCCTCTGTTTCGTATTCTTTGTTTCTTTCCATAAAGAAAGAACCCTATGGTATGCATCTTGGCAAGTAAAAAACTTTTTGCAGTGCCGTTTTTTGCTGTTAGATAACAGTTATTCTTGACTTCCCTTCTACCTCCTTAAAGCGTCCTTGCTAGAAATACATTCCTCAGGGTTTATATAACCTCCCAAACAGCTTCCCCATACTCCAGGAATTGGAGGGTAAGGTGAGGGGGAAGATGCTACAGTAAGACTTCTTTTTTCCCTACTATTTTTAATTTCCTCATTTTTAGTTCACATGCTGATTTATTGGAGAGTGTTTTGGCATCAGCTCTTTTTATATTGTGCAGATTAGAAATTTTCTATCAGTGTTTTAATTTCATCAAAACTCTTAAAACATTCAGCTTTGATGTCCTATGAAGTTTATGTACAGAATCCTTGAACAACAGAGACTTTTTCTGAATCCTTTTAGAAGAAAGAAGTAAAAGATAAGAAAACATGTTAACATTAGAGATTTATTTTTTTAAAACAGGTATCATCGAGTTTGAACAGTCACATTTATAAGTTCATTTTAAAATCCCATCTTGTCTCTTTTATACCTTATCATTGTATGGTTCAGAATAGAAGACTTGCATAAAAGGAAGTTGTTTACTTCAAAATAGAATAAGATATCACTTGAAGTCTTATAAAACATTTGAGAATTGAGTGAACTGTTTTTTGGTCAGTTGGTTTCATTGAATATAAATCACAGCATCTAATCACAGCATGTTGGATCATTCTACCCACTGACTGTAATTTAAAGTGTTGATCTAAAACTGTATGCTTAACCAAGGAGAATTTATAAGTAATTTAAATTCTGGTTATTTTAAGGACCATAAAGTTTTCTAATCTGAGATAATTTTGGAATATGCTCTAAGATGTTAGGTTGTTGGACATAACTATGATTATTATTTGTGGAAGTTGTAAGGATTTTCTCTTGTTCTGATCTAGTAAATTTCTACTCTGTTAATTTGGTTATAGCATATGAAGTTCACTTAAGCAGAAAGATGCATGCTATTTTATGTGCTTTGTTTTAATCTTGCAGTGTAATTTTGTCTATTGTAAGCAACCATGCTTCCTCTCTGTACATGCCATACGAAGATTTGCTCAAGAGCTTCCATATTCAAGTATTTGAATTAACAAACATAGGTTCAACTACTGAATTTAGATGATTTCTACAAAAGCCAGCATAATCTTTTAGGACAGAGCATGAGACTCTCTTAGAAAGTCAAAAACTTCCAAGGCCTCTCCACGACACTGCTATTTTTAGTATCTATTGATGGTGAAAATATAATTGCAAAAAAATCACTCTACATTTCATAGCACTTACAAAGTTATGTTTTACTGATCACAACGTTTATATCATTTGGAAATTTATAATGCATGGATGTGAGATCCTTATTCTGTCTATGTACAATGCTTGTGTACATATGGATTTTGTAGACCCTTGTAACAACTATGAAATCCTGCAGAGCTTGACAGCTCATAGGATAGGAACATTTGCTGTAGAGTAATTTTATAACTCTTGTTATTGTTAAAAGTATGATTTTTCTTTAATTCAAGGTTGAAACACAAGTTTAAAGGAAATTTCAAATCAAATTCACCAAATCTATTTAGACTAATGTTACTGGGTAGATTTTTTTTTTTTTTAAAGTAGGTTTAAAATTAGGATTACCTCTTACTGAATTTAGTCCAGAAGATAAACAGAAACACAAGATATAGAATATTGTTACTATATACTAACAATATTAATAATTTTGGATCCGAATAACGATTCTGTTAACAATCTTTTACATGTTACAGCAGTTTCAAAATCTCAGGTTGAATAGAGCATCTGGGAAAGACTTCTACAGAGCAAATTGAGGTCTACTTAGAATTAAAAAAACCCGTTGCTGTCAAGTCGATTCCAACTCGTAGCGACCCTATAGAACAGAGTAGAATTGCCCCATAGGGTTTCCAAGGAGTGGCTGGTAGATTCATACTGCCAACCTTTTGGTTAGCAGCTGAGCTCTTAACTACTGCACCACCGGGGATCCCTACTTAGAATAGTGGGTTCTACTCTTTGCTAACTTATTCCCATTTTTAACTCTATAGTCTTGCTCCATCTACTTGAACCCAGTATGAGGTTTATCACATTATAAAAAAAGAAAAGCTTCTCAAATTATAGACTGAAAGTATTGTAAGCTTGGGATTCTATTATAAGTCTAGGACAAAAGGAGGAGAGTGGTTACTGAAGAATCAGTTAATAATTTCCCCGGGAGTAAAGGAAGGATGTGTTCTCGGCTTCTCTTTTTTTCTTATTCCTTAAGGACATGATACTACTTTTGGAAGATCTAGACGCATGTTGCCTATTATCAAGAATATAATACTCTAAAGTTCATGGATACATTCATATGTATTAAAAATATAAAAACAAAAGGGAATGATAAACACCTAATTCAGGATAGTAATAAACCAAAAACCAAACCCATTGCCGTCAAGTCAATTCCGATTCATAAAGACCCTATAGTACAGAGCAGAACTGCCCCATAGGGTTTCTAAGGAGTGGCTGGTGGATTCGAACTGCCAGCCTTTTGGTTAGTAGCCACAGCAGGTGGGATATAGGACTTTCGAGGGATACACAGGGCTTCAACTGTGCTTACAATGTTTTCTTTCTAAAATTTGATGGTGGTTATATGAATGTTCACTATCTTCTGCCTATGTTTTGTATGTTAGCAATAATGGTAATGCTGATCATCATAATAAAAGAAGATCTGATTGTTTTTCCTAATTAATACCAGAAAGAAGGGCTGTAATTTAGCTATTAAGAAACCAAAGGTTTTTATATTTTTCTTCCTTTTTTATTTTTGGTAAATGATGCCCTCCAACCCTTCCCCTCAACACACCACATACATTACATATTGTTAGTTAATCGTCACATACAACAGACACCTCAACAAAGTTACCTTCGTAATTTGCAGATAGTGTTAGCTTTGGAGTCAGGCAAACCTCCATTCTGAGTCCGCTTTCTGAATGTGGGAACTTAGGCAAGGTACCTAACCTCTCTGTCTTAGTTTCCTAGTGCTGCTGTAATACAGATACCACGAGTAGGTGGCTTTAAAGAACACAAATTTATTTTCTCACAGTTCTGGAAGCTAAACATCCAAATCAGGGTCTTGGCTGTGTCATTTCCTTCCTTGTAGGTAGTCCCAGGTGTTCTTTGGATCCTTGGCTTGTCCAGATGAATCCCACATGGCATCTTCTCCCTCCCTTCCCTGTGTGTGTATCTCTGTGTCTAATCTGCTTATTTTATAACTCAGAAATGATTAGATTGAGAACTCACTCTACTCAGGTATGATCTAATTACTGTAACAAAGAAAACCATATTTCCAAATGGAACTACATCCACAGGTATAGGGGTTAGGATTCCAACCATATTTTGTGGGGACACAATTTAATCCATATACTCTTGGATCATTGCTTTCTTTATTTGTTAGGTGGAGATTACAACAATGTCTGCTTCTGAAATTGTGAAGATTAAATAAGATCGTATATATAAACATTCTGGTGTGTAGAAGGCTCAATGAATGTTAGTTTTCTTCCTCCTTTTTGGTACCCCATAGCACCTAGCACAGTGTACGCATATAGAGGGCACTCAGAAAATACTATTAGTTGACTATAAATTACATTTTATTAAATTACAATTTGTTAAAATTGTGCTAAATTGTTTTTAGGAGGACTTTCGACTGCATTTTAGAAATATTTCAAGAATCATGGATTGTGTTGGTTGTTTTAAATGCCGGCTATGGGGAAAGCTTCAGGTAAGCAAATCTAGTTCAGTTCTATTTCTCATTTATCCTTTCCATGAAGAATTTTATGATTTTTCTCTTTTTCTATTTCTATTATAGACTCAGGGTTTGGGCACTGCTCTGAAGATCTTGTTTTCTGAGAAATTGATAGCAAATATGCCAGAAAGTGGACCCAGTTATGAATTCCATCTAACCAGACAAGAAATAGTATCATTGTTTAATGCATTTGGAAGGTTAGTTTGAATGTACTTACATTATTTCTGCTAGCCAATAAGTTTAATGAACATGTATACACTCAGATAAAATTAGGTAAGAAATATCCTTTTTAGTGACATTGGCTAAATATAGAATTATATGATCTTATGAATACCTCAACTATGTAGATACAGTCTTTAGATGATATTCTTTATTTTTATCTATTGACTTTTATAATCATGATTAATTTACTGATTGGAATTTAATATTCATTTTACCAATTTGAATATTTTTCTAATTTTTTAAAGATAGATTTTTGTGCTGCCCACTTATTTTTCTAAAGGTCCTGGAAAAATCATACCTCACTTAAGATAGGTATACATGCAAATTTCTCTGTAAATTTATCATCATATTAAAAAGTTAATAATTCTTTTAAAAATAATTATTTTTCGTCAAAATAATTGGAGGATAAGCTTGAAATATGGAATTTACATTAAAAATTTAAATATAGATGCATTTCCTTCTGGCCTATCATATTAAAGAATACACAGATGTATAAAAATTAACATTTTTAGGATACATTTTTTTACTTTAAAAAATTGCAATGATTTAATATTTAAGTCTTGAAATAATTACTTTCCAAGTTATTTCTTGAGTACCTAGAAGCTTGACAGTTACTTTTGATTCAATATTCTGCTGTATTTTTTAGAGTGGAGAGCAGAGCCAAAGGACACTTAAAAATAATGAACAAACATTAACTTTTTATAGAAATTAGTGAAAAAAAATTGGTCACACATTTACTATTCTCATTCTTTATAGGCCAGTAGCTTTGATTCTTTGTATATTTACTAAATATGGCATATTAGTTATTTTTAAGTATTTATTTACTTATACTTTATAATATTATAATCTAATAAGCATTTATGTACCTAATATTACCATATTTTTACACCAATAATGTACTCCTTCTATGTTTGTTTGCCAACCGCTTCCACCCCCGTGAGGCATTTTCGTAAGCACCACTAATGCCAATGTTGTTTTTAAAAAAAATTTAGCATTGCATGCTTATGAAAATACCTTGCTGGGGGAGGGTGCAGTTGGCAAAATGTGGAAGGCGTGAGTTATTTGGGTAAAAATATGGCATACTTTATATTAAGTACATTGTTGTAAGTTGCCGTTGAGTTGATTGTGACTCATGGCGACCCCAAGTGTGCAGAGTGTATCTTCTTCGTAGGATTTTCAAGGCTGTGACCTTTTGGAAGCAAATTGCCAGGCCTGTCTTCTGAGGTGACTTTGGGTGGGTTTGAACTGCCAACTCTTCAGCTAGTAGTTGAGCACTTAACCATTTGTGCCATGCAGGGATACAATAGATTAAGTATATAAATACTTAAAAATAACTAATTTCTGGGCAGATATTATTATTTTAGTTTTACCGTGTCAAATTAAGGATCAGAGTACATCAGATTAGATTAGATGGTTTGTAGTACAGCTTTAAATTTGTTGAAATAAATTACTTTTAAAAATTTCTGTGCTCTAAAAATGCATAATTAATAATAGCTTATAGAAGAAAATATATCTGAGATGGTTTCTAAGTGAAATTATTTTTGGTTACAGAATTTCTACAAGTGTGGGAGAATTAGAAAACTTCAGGAACTTGTTACAAAATATTCATTAAAGAAAACGAGGTAAAATGTGCCTGTATCTGGACAATGGAGGCCAAAGAGTGGAATTTCATTCAAAAGCATAATAGCAATGACAGTCTTAAGCCAAACCTTTTATATAAAGCTGCTTTTGTAAGAGAAGATCTATATTGTTTTAAGTAAATACTTTTTGTAATTGTGTTGTCTATGTATGATATTATTGTGAGTACAAGTAATTCTTCGATAATGTGGTAAAAATGTTTAAGTTTAATGTTGAGTAAAATCAGGATTATCAAATTCATATTTGGTAAAACTAAGTGAATGATGTTTTAATTCTCTCCAAGTAGAGTTTTGTGTTAGAAGATATAAATAAAAATATAGCCCATCTGACAAGCATTTAATAGGAAAATGCTAAGGAGGCTCATGAACAACCTATAATTAATAGCCTAGAATTCTTAAAATACGTTTAGGTATAGCAAATAAAAACACAGAATGCTAAGTTAAATTTGAATTTTAGATAAACAATGAAGAGGTTTTTAGTCCTGTGCAATAGTTGGGATATACTTATACTAAAAAATTATTCATTATTTGTCTGAAATTAAAATTTAACTGGGAGGCCTATATTTTATGTGGCAACTCCAAATACATTGATATGAAACAAATCACTTTTAATATTATATTACTATTTTGATCAGGCTGTTTTGACGTGTAGAAAGGAAAAATAACAACTCGAAGGCACATAGGCAATTTCTAAAAACTGTGAAAAGTTCACTGGATTTATATTATTTATTTTCATAATACCTTCCCTAGTAATACAATTTTGGGAAACGTTTTATTTTGATATAATTCAAGTTTACAGAAAAGTTTCAAGAATAGTACGAAGAGCTCTTTTACCCAGATTCACCATTTGTTCATATTTGCTTTATCTTTCATGCTCTCTGTGTATACACACACACACAATTTTTTTCCTCAGTCATTTAACAGTCAGTTATGGGCATTCTGTCCCTTGAACCCTAAATACTTTAGTGTGTAATACTGAATGCTTTTTTTAAACTGATGTCCTTAATAAAAACACACACAAAAAGAAAAATCTGGAATTATAACACTGTAAGTCTTAGAATAAGGAATCATTTTGAGTTCCAATCTCAAGTTCTTTTTCAGTTTTGTTGCCTTTTCTATGCTTAATCTGTATAGTAATAGGGCATGCAATTTTTATTTTTTATACATGAGGTTCATCCTCTTGCTTCCCTAAAACTGAACTGTAATGTTGGGAGGTTTTCATTAGTGGAACTCTTCAGTGATAAAAATATTTAAAGAAGTTTAGAAATTCATATCACATGGTAATTGTAGGGAAAAGGAACCTGTATAACTCAAAACATGTACATTCTTTATATATGTCTTAGGAGGTATACCGTGTTGAGATGTCTAATCATTAATAGAGCAGGGTTTATTTATATAAGGCTTAGAAAATGGTACTTTACACTGCTGTATACTTTTTCTTCTGTGTCCCCAAGGTCTGGTACAATGCCAAGCACATAGTGGGTATCCAATAAATATTTGTTACTGAATGTATGAATATGTATCCAATATTTTAAATGAATACTCACAGAGCAAAATTTAACCATTTGCATCCCATTTTTCTTTTCCCCCTTATTTTCTTTGAATAGGGCAGGAAAAGAGAGACATAAAACCACTGGTTAAGTCAATCCTCTTAGAGACTCAAAGGACTATGAAGTAACCACCATATATAAAAGTTTACGGACTTTTGTAATACTCTGAAGTATAGTAGATGGGTTCAAATTGTAATTTTGTCTGTACACTTCCCTAACTCTCATTTTATGCCTTTTTTTAAACAGCCAAATTCTGTGACAGAATATCCCTACCTTCATTTTGCCACTTCCCACTTGTTCCTTAACTAAAATCTGTCTTCTGGTCTCATAGTTCTTAAGAATCCCTTCCTGTAAAGTCTAAAGTCCTTATTCTAAATCCACAGATAGGTTCACAAGCCATTTCTTTTTTTTAATTTTTTTCTCATACAAAAATTTATGCATACATTTTTATGTGACTCTAATTGCTCTCCCCATACTGTGACAGCACACTTCTGTCCACCCGATTTCCCATGTCCATTCAACCAGCTCCTAACCCTCTCTGCCTTTCCATCTCACTTCTGGACAGAAGCTGCCCATTTAGTCTCTTGTATCTACTTGAGCTAAGAGGCACAGTCCTCACGAGTATCAGTTGATATCCCACAGTCCAGTCCAATCCCTGTCTGAAGAGTTGGCCTCAGAAATTGTTTTAGTTCTGGGCTGATAGAGACTCCAGGGGCCATGCTTTCCAGGGTACCTCCAGGCTCAGTCAGACCATTAAGTGTGGTCTTCTTACTAGAATTTGAGTTCTGCACCCCACCTTTCTCCTGCTCCATCCGGGACTCTATATTGTGTTCCCTGTCAGGGTGGTCATTGGTGGTAGCCAGGCACCATCTAGTTCTTCTAGTCTCAGGCTGAGGAAGTCTCTGGTTTATGGGGCCCTTTCTGTCTCTTGGGCTATTAACTTTCCTTGTGTCTTTGGTGTTCTTCATTCTCCTCTACTCCAGGTGGTTGGGACCAATTGATGAATCTTAGATGGCGGCTTGCAAGCTTTTAAGACCCCGGATGCCACTCACCAAAGTAGGATGCAGAACATTTTCTTAATAAGCTTTGTTATGCCAGTTGACCTAGATGTCCCCTGAAAGCATGGTCCCCAGACCCCTATACCTGCTGCTCTGTCTCTCAAAGTGCTTGATTGTATTCAGGAAACTTCTTAGCTTTGTTTTAGTCCAGTTCACAAGCCATTTCTTATTTGACTTTTTTTCCTGCACTTGACATTGTTCACAGCTCTCTAAAAATTCTTTATTCCCTTGGTTCCTTACATTTCACTTGCTCCTGTTCACCTCCTTTTCAGCCTCCTTTCATTTATTCCTTAAATGGTATTCCTTAGGCTTTCATCCTTGCTGTTCTCTTGGGTAATCCCAATCTGATAATTTCTAAATCCTTATCTTTAGCCCAGACCTCCCAATCCAACTACCTACTGCATATCTTCACTTGGCTGTCCCACAGATACCTGTATGTGTCTAAAACAGTCATTCTCTCCAAAACCTAATCTTGTGCTTATGTTCCTTACTTTGGTTAATTTCAGGACCATTATCTTCTAAATTTATTAGACTCACTTCTCCTCCACTTTCCACCTATCCAATTAATGTCTAAGATCTACTGATTTTATCTCCATATCTTTGATACATCACTATCTTTCCATTTTTGTTGCTCTTACCTGAAGTACTACGCTAACTTAACTCCTTATACTCAGCCTGTCTCCTCTTTGTTGCTCCACAATGCTACCAGAGTGGGTTTTCTAGAAGCACTCTGACAATGTCCTTGTTGCTTAATACCCTGCAGTGACCTCATGTACCTTCAGGAGAAAACCAAACTCCTTTGCTTGGTGTACAATAAGATATCCCCCTCACCCCAAGAATGTTCTGATTAAACAGACTCACAATTTTCCAAATATGCCACATGGTCAGGACTCCACACCTTGGTGCATACTGTTATCTTTGTATCAAGTATCCTAGCCCTCCTTCCCCATCCGGAAAATTCATGTGTACCCTTGCAGGCCCAGTATAAGCATCTCCTCTGTGAAATCTCTGTGCCTCCATTCAAGGAGAGTCATCTAACTTCCTCTTTTGTGCCATCACTGTAATTAGAACCTACCTCTATTGTATTACTTATTGTACTGTATTACTTGTTTTTGTTTTTAAAGCCTCCTTTACTAGAATGTGAGCTCCTTAAGGGCAGGAACAGGACCTTTATTCATTTCTGAATTTCCATAGCATAGTTTTTGGCATATGAATGGTTAATAAATGTTTGTTGAATAAATTGCTTTTAAAGTGACTTTATTATATTAGATGTCACACCTTCATTCAAATATTCTTTACAGCAAGAGTCAGTAAACTCCCAAGGAATTGTGGACTTCAGGGGGTCAATAAAGCTTCTGAAATTGTATTCAAAAGTTGGTATGTTTTTTGGGGGGACTTGAAAGGAGTCTATTCTGGAAAATAAAAAGAAGTAACTAACTTTTAAGGGAAAGGGCAGCATCACTGAGGAATTTCTTGAGTAATCAAAGAATAGATGCCTGGGGTTATGGGCTACTTAAAATGGTTTCTGTTTAATACTCTAAGGGGAATGGGAGAGGTGTTATAAATTATTCCATATAAGGAATTTAATAGCTTAATACCTGGATATACATGTATTATCTAATGCGTTATTGGTATTTTAAAGCATATGGCATTTCATATCAAGCTGGTATATATTACTAAATGATTTGATGTTCAGATGTAAGTATGAGATCACCAAAAGCAAACTATTGTTTGTAACTCCTGATATTTTTCTCTTTTCTGTAGTAGCACTAGGGTCCTTATCCTTCTATGATGGAGAAACGCAACAGGTATATAGTCCATTAACAGAGATTAAGAAAACTAGACCTCCAAATAAAAGCACAAACACTTTTATTTTTAACAGTAGAGTTTTGTTATGATTTAGTGAAACAACAAATAAATACATTCATTGGCCACAGCTATACTTTTGCAACCAGTTTTAAACTGATTATATAGCTGAGAAACACTGTTAAACAATAAAAAGACAGCTATGCATAAAAAAGCCACTTTAGCTATAAATTACATCTTCCATAAAACTACAACCAGATACAATGAGTGATAAGAGCTTCAAAATTAATAGCCACCCAGATGTAACAATAAAAACAAATACTGTTAATCACTGTAGAATTACACACTTAAGCAATGAAATTTGCTTTTGTAACTAATGAACCAAAAAGGAAGGTCTGAAATTGTCATCATGTGCTTCAGTGCAGGATGAAGAGGGAATCGGTAGCCCTTTGATTTTATAAGCAACTCCTTCCTTCAAGACCAAATTTAAAGTGCTCCTAGTGCTTTGGAATTTTTAAGAAAAATTGGGCCAGAAGCTTATCTGTCTTTGTCTTTGGTGATGTATTGTGGGAGATGTGTATAAGAAGACAAATGCAAGAATTCAGGAGCCCTTGTCAGTGATAAGAATAAACTTAGCAAATCTGAAATTTGGAAAAGTCAGCTAATGCAGCTAAAAGAACTGAGTTATATTACTGAAATATTTTTTTTAAAAGTAATCTTTGTTTTTCTGGTCAAATAAGAACATTATCTAGGGAAGCCTTACTAGAACAAATTTACTTTATCACCTTGAACCCCCAAGGATTAACAAAAACAACACAGATCTTTTCAGATAGCTCTAGATAATTAGATACCTAACCTTATTAGCAAAAGAAATAGTTGGCATCCTGAAATCTCATAACTGAAGTTGCAATTAAGTACATGTTATGTGTCATGTTAATACCAAGGTTAACTTCTGTACTGTACATTTTCTAATAATTTGGTTACAATGAGAGAACTTGTTATAAACAAACAACATAACTATAAATTTATACTTCTGATTGAATTTAAAATAATTATTATAATTTTGTTATAATTTAGTGAAACAACAAATAAATACATTTTAAAGAAGTAAAATGTAAAGAAATTGTAAAAAGAAGAAACTTCTTTGGCTGTGTATCAGCCTCTCAAAAATGGAAATCATTAAAAATTTCGTTTATTCCTTAGGGTTTCACCTACCATATATTTTTGTGAAGTTACTGCATCAGTTATTAAAAAGTTGAAAGACTTTAATTAAGAGTAGAAATAAGACATGACTTTCTAATTGAAGTAGGCGACAGAAAAAGGCAGCTGTATTAGTTTCAGTTCTGAAGAAATAGATCAACAGACAATTGTATAGTTAGTTGTCTTTTAGCATGCTGTGATAACTTTCCAGTGTTGCCTGTTCCACTGGCATCTTGAGGTATTCAGCATCTACTTCTTTCTATATAGACACTGGTAGAAAGTGCATTTTAAAATTCTCTATTATCTTAGCCTACCATATATTTTTTAGATTTGAGATAGGACATTCAAGTCAGTTTTAACGTTAATTCTAAAGGTATTCCAATATTAACCACTGGTTTTACATTGACCTAGTTAGTATCTTTACATAAATTTACTCATTTAATCTAGTGCTGGGATTAATTTGAATTAATTTAATTTGGCTCTGCCCATACATAAGATAAAAATATGAAAATTAAAGGAGGAATTATATGTCTTACAAAGTATTGCACTTGAGTTCACCGCAGTAATGTATCATGATTTAATTTACCTGAGGACAATCCTGCATCAATAGGTAAGGTCAGCTATATCTTGTTTCAGCTAAATAGAATGCTTTTTAAAATGTACCCAAGTTTTAACTTAGAATTGTACATTTTATGAATAATTCTTAAATGCATCTGTAAACGTGTTTAGTCCCAAGAAGTTTCTACCAAAATTTCTCTATCCAAAAATCACTATTGCTTTCTCAAAGAATCATGCTTAAACTCTACTACATATATCTTAATCATACAAAATAATCACTTGACAAATTTCTACTCAAAGTAGCAACACAATTTTCAATGGTATATTTTACTTTTGGAGAGACGACTGTAGCTTTCCAAAGAACACTGCTGGTTATCACTGTAAAGAATCACTACTAGCATCTGTTTAAAATAATTCCTTAAATATTTTCAGTTGGTATTTTAAAGTCATGCTTAAAAGAACTATCTTCAATGATTAAATATTTTGAGATTTTTAAAAAGAATGATACATTTTATGCCGTAATTCTGTACACAGTTCACACTGTAAAACTTTTATTGTGTAAGAATTCTATCTAGAGTACACCACTGAATATACAGGCTTTGATTTATGTCGGAAAATTGTCTTCCAATTTGGTGTACAACACCGGGGTATGACTTTGGGAACTGCAGTTTACTCTTTCAGAATAAAGATAAAAGTGCAAATAGGCAAATATATATTTGATGTTCCAAAGTCAGGATGTTTGGAGGCCATGTCAAGTGCCTTAAGATCTAATTCATCTTTTCTTCCTCTCCAAATTTTCTGTTCTACTTCATTTTACTAGGAGGAGGGCACAAGTATCAGCTGTGTCCTCCTCTGGGCACAGCCACATTTCCAGGCTTTGTTCTCAGTTGCAACAGAT